ATGTATGTTTTGTTTTAGACTTTATGAAAAGAATATGCTATGGAATTGCAAATTTGACAAGATAAAAAAGAATTAAAAGGGAATAAGTATGAAGATATGGAAACTATTAGTGATTTAAATGAGAAGAGTACTTTGGAAAAGGCAACGTTTAAAAGAAACGTTAAGAAATACATTTGAAATAAATTGAAATGAATTAAGATGTTTAGAATGAGAGTAATATTAATGAATAGCATTAACTTGCCTGTTCCTTTTCTTATATAAGTTGAGAGGTAAAATGAGAAAAGAGTACTTTGGAAAAGGCCACACTTAAAAGAAATGTTAATGTTTAAGAAATATATTTGAAATAAATTGAAATGAATTGAGAAGATGCTTAGAATGAAAGCAATATCACTTGACAGAATTAATGTGTTTGTTTCTTATGTAAAAGTTGAAATGGAGAAGTAGTAACAGAATTAAAAATGGACAAGACAGAATGTTGAATGTAAAAATGAATATATAATTACTGTCATATTTGCATGTAAAAGTGCTGACTCAGAGTTATGTTGTACACTGAAAAGAGCCTTTTTTATGTTTTTTTGGAAAAATTGAATAAAACTTGTTTAAAAAAAAAGATAAGGGACATCCTCCCAAGGTAAAGCCCAGCAGCAAAACTAAGATAAGACACTGAAACACAGAAAACAATGTCATGCTGACCCTCAAGCTTATAGTTTAGAACAGGGGTGTCCAACCTTTCACCTTCTCTGGGCCACATTAGAAGATGAAAATTTGGTTTGGGCCGCACATAAAATAAAATAACAGTAACAATACCTGATCATCCCAAAAAGCCATAGAAAACATAGTTAACATATTAAATTTATTTGGAAATGAAATTAGTGAGATGTTTTTATTATTTATTATTTATTTTTTATCATGTTTTTTATCAGTTTTTTTTATCACAGTTTATTTTCCGGGGAAATTTTGCGGGGGGGGAGTGGGGGGGAGAAAGCTCGCCCGCCTCACGCCTACCTCTCCTCCTGCAAATGGCCCGGCTGGATGAGGCAGGACTGGAAGACAGAAGCAGCAGCAGCAGCAGCCTTCCCCCGCCACCGCTGCTGCTTCTGCCCCTGCCCCCGCCGCCGCTGCTTCTGCCCCCGCCGCCCCTGCCGCCGCTTCTGCCCCGGCCGCTTCTTCCCCCGTCGCCACCGCCGCTTCTGCCCCGCCCCCGCTGCTGCTTCTGCCCCCGCCGCTTCTTCCCCTGCCGCCGCTGCCGCTTCTGCCCCCACCGCCCCCACCGCTTCTTCTCCCGCCACCACTGCTGCTTCTGCCCCCGCCACCGCTGCTGCTTCTGCCCCCGCCACCGCTGCTGCTTCTGCCCTCGCCACCGCTTCTGCCCCTGCCGCCGCTTCTGACCCCACCGCCCCCGCTTCTTCCCCCGCCCCCGCCGCCGCTTCTGCCCCCGCCGCGGGGGCAGCGGCGGCGGGGGCAGAAGCAGCAGCGGGGGAAGCGGCGGCGGGGGCAGAAGCAGCAGTGGTGGCGGGGGAGGAAGC